AAGTACATGAATAAATATGACACTGAATATGTATTAGTTCCCTAGGGTTTATGGTCCTAAGAGAGTACCACAAACTGGGTAGCTTAAAGTAACAGATATGTATTCTCTCACAGTTGTAGTGGACAGAAGTTCAAAACTAAGGTGTCTGAGGGCCATTCTCCTTCCAAAGGCTCTAGGGAAGGATCTTTTCTGTCTCCATCATTCCTATTTCTGCCTCCATCTTCACATCAGCTGCCTTCACTATGGGCCGTATCTTCTTTTAAGTGCTTCATTCATTGAATTTAGCTAGGGTCCTCCCTAAATTCTGGATGATCTCATATCTGGATCCTCAACTGATTACAAAACCCTATATACAATTCACGTCATTTTATGAGTTCTTGATAAAGTAGAATTTTGAGGTGGCATTATGCAACCCATTATATTGTTGTTAAGTGCTATTGAGTTTGTTCTTCTGACACATAGTGAACCTGTATAGGGTTTCTGAGGAGTGGCTGATGAGCTTGAACTGCTGACCTTGCAGTTCAAACCAACTTTGCAGTCCAGCACATTAACCCACTAACACTGTACCAGGTCTCCGGTCTGTTAATATTGTTGTTGTTGTTAATTGCCGTCGAGTCTATTCCGACTCATAACGACCCTGTATAGGGTTTTTGAGGAGCAGTTGGTGAGCTTGAACCACTGATCTTGCAGTTCGAATGGCTGTGCCATCTGGTGCATTAACCCAAAGTGTAACACCAGGACTCCAATCCATTATATTAGGGAAGGATAAGATGAGCAGACCAGTTTCAGATTAATCTGGTAAGAGTATGAAGGTTGAACTCAAGTGTGATAATAGATTTATGCAGCCACAAAGTCCTCAACTAGGATAGTCGTATTTGGGGTGCAAAGGAGTCCAGGGAGATTCTGACTGGTGGATGTCTCATCGTTTCACGTAAGGTTGGTTGTTGTAAATCAGAGCCAACAATATCAATTAACAGCTGAATTTGAAAGGCTGTTTGTTCCCGTCTTTTTATGATAATTTTAGTTTAATAATTGAGTGTTATTTCACATGTTCTCCCAGTCTCTATGGACCCCTGTAGTGTGATCCCTTTCAGAGCACAGGGTAATGGTAGATGGCTACCATCTAGTTTTTTTGATCTCAGTGTTGTGTAGGCCGATGTTCACACGTTCTAGTCGTCCATTGGACTAATTGATTCCAAACCTTTTCAATTCTTAACCACTCTTCTTTCTTCTGCACACAGAGAGACCCATAGGTGTACCTTAGATGGCCAATTGTGAACTTTCAAGATCCCAGATGCTGTTCATCAAAATAGGATGTAAGACATTGTCTTAGTGGACTATGTTATGGTAATTGACCCTAAGACCCCAGAAAGTTCTTAGGTGCTCCCTAAGAAAGTTCATCATTTTGCCCACTGTATGCTCCATCACATTCAGAGTTGTATTCACAGGAAAGGTAGATACAGTTGTAAACATGTCCTCTTTCTGAAAGATCTGTTTTTGAAGATGAAGTGATTTACGTTGCAAAACAATGAGTTTGAGATATTGGGGAATATCTCTGAAAACATCCACCAAAAGGTCTTCATTTGATACTGCTTTAGTGTTCAGCGAATCCTGACTGAGCACTTACCGTGTGCGAAGCCTGAGCTTGTTCCTGAGGATTCCATGTTGACATCATCTCTGCCCTCCAGGAACTAGCAGGGAGTTAGCAGAGAGGAAGAAGAAGAGCAGCTTTGACCAGCTCTATGGCAGGTTGTATCAGGTGCCCTGGTCTGAATGGGGTGGGATGGTAGAACATGGGCCTCGATCAGCCTTTCTGGGGACCATGAGAAGTCTTCCAGGACCTGGCAGCCAGCCAGCTGGGGATTTGGAAGAGGAGGAATGTCAGTTTCCTTTGACTCCCTGGCCCTCTTGTCTTTCTAACACTTCTTGGCTCTGGATCAATGCAGACTTCCTTTTCACTCCTGTTGTAGATGAGTTCTAGAGGATCCTGTTACTCTTTGCTGACCTCCAGCCTCATCTCCACCCTTGGTCTGTTATTCCTAATATTCCTCTGTGCTCTACCCTTCTCCAAGGCAGTGCCTACAAATATTTCTATACTAACATCAGCTTCTGTACCTGTGTAAACAAGCCACGAGGCAGGTGCTTCCCTACCTCTTTCTGCTCCCTGCACACCTCGTCCTCTCCTCTCCCAGCCTTCTTCTGTGACAAGAAACGTTTAGAGGTTGTAGGGATGGGAAACCAATGGTGAGAATATGTCTTGTCAGTGAACCAAGGATATTTGATGCTTTTTAGGAAACTGCTAAAGACAAGCAAGACAGTAAAACTCCAAGGTGACATTAAGCCAAGGGTAAGTGGACAGCTTATTTCCATGTGGACAGGGATTTTTGGTATATGTAGCAAGCTCAGATGTACCTGGTCGGACTCTCCATTTTATGGTTATTAGATTTGATTCTCCCATTTTTAAGAGTCATTATTTTCATTTATAAACTAACTCATTACGAACCCATATGTGTCAGTAGAATTGTGCTACGGAGGCTTTTCAGTAGCTGAAGTTTTCAGAAATAGATCGCAGGGACTTTATTCAGAGATGCCTCTAGGTGGACTCTACCGTGTTTTCATTAGTAGCTAAGCATGCTAACTGGTGTACCATCCAGGGGCTCTTGACAAGGACTCCTGACATGTTGCAGGTGCTTAAGAAATACTTGGTAAAGGAATGGTTGGTTTCCTCTGGAACTAAGGTGTTTAACTTTTGGAATTTCCTAATTTCCGTGAATGAAGTTTACTCCTTATCTACTCCAAGAATGCCTCACCCCTTAAAACTAAACTCAGTCACTACCTCTTTTTTGAGGTGGGGTAAACTTTTTCACCGCTACTCTGATAGCGTAGTGGTTACAAATAGGGCTGCAAACCTCTCAAGGTCAGCAGTTTGAAACTATCAGCTGTTTCACGGGAGAAAGATGAGGCTTTCTGCTGCCGTAAAGATTTACAGCCTCGAAAACCCTGTTCAGGATTGCTGTGGGTCAGAATCAACTCAACGGCACTTAACAACAAAGACGACTCATCTATCAGTTTGTCCATCGTGGTGGCTTGCATATTACTATTTTGCAAGAAGCTATGCCACTCGTATTTTCAACACCAGCAGGGTCGCTCCTAGTAGTGGTTTCAACAGAGGTTATAGCCTAGGGAGGAGAGGCAGACTACTGCTTTTGAGTAGCCTCAGGACATTGTCACATGTAATGCCTAAAACTGTGTCCCTGAAGTTGGAAGCCACTCTTAATAGCACTGGGGAAGTACTGCCTCCTCAACATATGGCTGACCAGAGTGATGTGGATGGAACACAGCTTTGGGGACCTTTGTTTGCTGATGGGGCACACCTCAAAATGGGATGAAACAGCTGCATATATCCATTAATAATCAAAAGCTCAAATGTATGAAGTATGAATGTTCCTTAGAAACCAGGATGGGCAGACTTCATCTCTCATACTTCAGACTTATCAGGATGGACCAGTTTGCTTCGTAAAGTGGAGGGACAGCGAAAAAGATGGAGGAGACCCCCAATTAGACGGATTAGCACAGAGCCAACAACAATGGGCTCAAGAGCAGCAGCAATTTTGAGGGTGATGCAAGACTGGGCGGTGTTTACTTCTGTTGTACACAGGGTCTCAGTGAGCTGGAACCAACTCGATGCATTTAACAACAACAGTCTTTACTTACAGCCTTTTATAATCTAGGGAAAGTGAAAGTTTTAAAAAGGAAATGCATCACTATGAAGATTGAAATCCTAGGCATTAATGAGCAGAAATGGACTGTTAATGGCCATTTTAAAATCTGACAATCATATGGTGTACTATATTGGAATGTGGAATAGAAGAGGAGTGGCACGGGATTTATTGTCGAAAGAACATTTCACCAATTTATAGCAGTAAATATACATTCCAAGAGAAAACCCAAAATCACTACATTAGCAAAACATCACCAATAATTAGGAGAAAACACCTAGCAAAATAAGCCTACAGTCACCAGAGGAAAAGAAATAATAAAGATTAGAGGAGAATATTGAAAGTACCATCGGCTACCAAAAGAACAAACAGATCTGTGTTGGAAGAATTACAACCAGAGAGCTCCTTGGAGGCCAGCATGGCCAGACTTCGTCTCTCATACTTCAGACATATTGTTAGGAGGAGGGACCAGTCACTGGAGAGGGATATCATGTTTGGTAAGGTAAAGGGTCCGAGAAAAAGAGGCAGACCCCCAACGAGATGAATTGGTAACATGGCAGCATCAATGGGCTAAAGTGTGTCAACAATTGTAAGGTTGGCCCAAGACTTGGCAGTGTTTAGTTCTGTTGAGCCTAGCGTCGCTATGAGTCGGTACCAACTCCACTGGTACCTAACAACAACAAAACAGAAACAAATGATTAACAGAGAAACAATAGAATCAACAATATAAGAAGCTGCTTCTATGATCGGATTAATAAAATTGGCAGACCAGTGGCAAATCGAACAAAAGAAATGATAGAGTAGGTGTATGTAGCACACAAAGGAAACCATATGGGTGATGTCACAACAGAACCACCGGAAATAGGATAATAACAGGACGCTATAAAGCTTTATACTCCAATGAATTTGAAAATCTAGAAGAAATGGATAATTCTCTAGAAAAAAATGATCTTCTTAAACTAAAACAGAGTACAGTAGTAAACTTGAACAGACCTATAACAAAAGGAATAATTCATCAGGTCATCAAAACACTCCCAATCAAAAAAAGTCCAAGCCCAGATAGCTTTACTGGTGATTTTTACCAAACATTCAGAGAACTGACCAATTTTATCAATCTATTCCAGAATATAGAAAATGATGAAAAACTTCTGAATACATTTTATGAAGTGAGTATAACCCTCATACCAAAGACAGGCAGGGTTTGCTATGAGTCAGAACTGAATCAACAGTAATTGACAACAGTGAAATGACTGGAACTGTGGTTGTCTTGTTCTTAAACAGCCCACTGGCCAAAAGTTCCCCATCTCTGCTATAGAGCCACACCGGGACTCTGTGTAAGATAGTAGTGTTGTTATTAAGTGTTGTCGAGTGGATTGGTACTCATAGAGACCTTGTTTAGGATTTCCAAGGAGTGACTGGTGGATTTGAACCTTGGAACTTGCTTCTCAAACCCACCATGGGGTCCAGTGCTTATCCTATAGGCAATTGTGAGAAATACAATGGCATCTGCCCCACCCAAAGGCAATTTAAATAACTTTGGACAGGGGAACTTTACCATATCCAGTCTGCCACACGTTTTAGCTACAAACACTGTAACAATGGCCCCCAGAGCTGATGTTCAGAAGATCTCTCATGACTTTATAATTGCTCAATGATGTTGTGAATTACAGGGTGTGAATTACAAATGTTCATGTCTTCTTGGGGTTACCCCAAGGTTCCCTCCCTATAGTTTTAAGAGGTAAAAATAAGCTAGAAATCAATGGCTTTAGCTCTTTTTTTTCCCTCCAGGACTGAAAGTCATGTTTCCTTGGAGGTCAAGTAATGCTTTGGCTCTTCTCTGGTTAGAGTGATTATTTTCTTGTCTGCCTGCCCTTGAATACCCTTCCTGTGACACACAGCAAGGTAATTTGATTGGAAGACAGCCTGATACAAAACCGCACATTGAATTTTTCGTTAGGTGAAGGATATGAGACCTATTTAGGCTGAACTTTTATCATGTATAAACAGCTCTTTTAAGATACAGCTCTTACTAGGTTTTGTTGTTGTTAAGTGCTGTTGAGTCAGTTCCAACTCGGAGCGACCCTGTATTAGGGTTTCCAAGGAGTAGTTGGTGGATTTGAACTGCTAACCTGTGGTTAGCAGTCCAGGGTTTTCCTATAGTGCCACACCAGGACTCTTCAAGTTTTGCTGTCGAAACATGGACTTTATCTTTAATGAAGTCTGGTGGTGCAGTGGGTTAGGCGTTGGGATTCTAATCAAAGGCCAGAGGTTCAAACACGACAGCTGCTGTAGACAGCAAAGAGATTCGGCTGTCTTCTCCCATTACGGTGGTCTCAGAAACTCTGAAGAGGCAGCTCTACTCCTTCCTATACGGTTGGTATGAGTACATGGGTTTGGCATGATTTGGGTTAAGCTTTAAAGAATAGGCTCTGTTGAAAACAAATGAATCTCCTTAGCAGGAAGCTCTTTAAGGCATCCACACCTGTTGCAGTCGAGTTGACTCTGACTCATAGGGACTCTGTCCGACAGCGTAGAAGTACTCCATATAGGACTTCAAAGGCTGTAATTGTTGTACAGAAGCAGACCGCCACATCCTTCCCCAGAGCAACAGCTGGTGGGTTCAGACCTCTGACCTGTTAGCCAAGCGTTCAAGCAATGTGCCACCAGGGTCCCTTAGAGTGCCCGCCCTCCATGAACCCTAGCTCCCCTTCAAAGCTTGATCCCATTCTCATATCTGCCTCCTGCCCTTCTTTGTCATGCCTCGTGCTAGAGTCCTGGTGTGGTGCTATATAGGATAAGCACTGGACTGCTTGCTAAAAGATGAGTGGTTCAAATCCACCAGCCACTCCTCGGAAAGCGTATATGAGTGAACCCCCACTTGTCTATCACTTAGTTGTACGGTGGTGGCTTGCATGTTGCTGTGATTCTAAACGTTATGCCACAGGTATCTTAAGCAGGCTCACCAATGGTGGACAGGTTTCAGCTGATCTTCCAGATGAAGACAGACTTGGAAGAAGTAGAAGATGGACTGCTTCTGAATATTTAGTGACTGAAAACATGAATAGCAGTGTAACACTGTCAGCACCCAAATGTTGAATATTGAAACATGAAAAGCACCAGAATGTCGTCAGATACAGTGCTGGAAAATGAGCCCCTCAGGTTGGAAGGTTTTCAAAATACACCTTGGGAAGAACTGTCTTCTCAAAAGAGAGTTGATTGTGATGATACAAACAGACTAAAGCCTTGTTATTGTTGTTGTGATGTGCTGTGGAGTCAGTTCCGACTCATAGCGACTTTGTACAGGGTTTCCAAGGGTCGCTATGAGTTGGTACCTACTCAGTGGCATGTAACATCAACAAATTAGCCTGAACCACCTCTAGGGCATTTTACAACATCCATACCTAAGAGTTTTAGTAATTTCCTAATATACCTTGAACACAACAACTCCTTTTGTTTTCTTTGGAACCATGTTTGCCACTGTGTACTACACATTTAAACTTTCTACAGTGACAATCTGATCCTGCCCCACAAGCTTGACTTGAATGTCGCTCAGACATCAACATCACCAAATCGCAGGTCAAGTAAATTTTCCCTGCCCGACTCCTGACTTGAAATAGCTACCTCCTTGTCTTTCTAAGAGGAGCCCAGCTCTGGTACATTGGTTAAGTACTAGGCAGCTAACTGAAAGATCAGCAGTTCAAATCTACCAGTGGCTCTGTGCGAGAGAAAAACTTGGCAGTCTGCTTCCATAGAGATCTGTAGTCTTAGAAGCCCTCTGGGGCAGCTACACTATCCTATGGCCTCACTGTCAATAGTTGGAATTGCCACAAAGGTGATAGGTTTGGTTTTGGGCCCTTTGCTACCTTTCTGTTAAGTGTTAAGTTGGTTCTGAGGGTTTCCGAGGAGCGGCTGGTGAGCCTGAACCTACAAGCTTGAAGTTCAAACTGACTTTGCATTCCAGCGCATCAACCCACCATGCCATACCAGGACTTTCCAGGTACTGTGTACAGGATGATTTTGCAAAATGTTGTTTTTGCCTCATCTTTTTTCCCCTGACCAATCTAGCGCTCCTTCAGCAGAGATTCTATATAGTAATTTGTTTGCTTTTCATGACTAACCTTTGTATCTTTTATCTGTAATCAATTGCTAAAATATCTCTTTGATATAAAAGAAGAAAATCCTTGAGTGATAGGTAGGTCATTTGGAGCATCACTCAGGCGCTTATTGGGATGAAATCAGAAAAACTGCAACATACTTTTATGTGAGTGTAAAAAATCAATTTATTTGACAACAATCATACAGAATGTTTTTTTATCTATCTATGAAGAAAAATGGCTTCTCCTGCCTCATGGTCCATCCCAATCATGATACTGTGTTCTTAAGATACAAGTATTTTCAAAGGAAAAGAAAACCTGACATCCTTGTTTTCCAAATAAGGAAGCTTCCAGAAACATTTATAAACTAATACGGGAATACTGAAAAGAACCGGAGTGATCTTTGATACACTAAATGTTGTTCTGTCCAGCACAGTCAATGGTATTTTGAGTTAAACAAAAATAAGATACAGCTCTTTGATAGGTAGGTTGGAAAATTATGTTTGATTTGAAATCAGTAAACATTCCGTTTAAAATTGGGGATACTATATGTTTATAGTATTTACTTTTAAGTGTTTTCATTCTCAAGTATGACGAAATAGATCTGTGAAAAAATATTTTACATTGTTTTCTTTGTATTATACAGATTTCTAATATTTTTTACAGTTCTATTTTAGGAAAATGACATTAGACACTTGTTTTTCTTTAAAGTCGCAACACTTAATGACAGGATACAATAGCTACGTGATCCAAATTTTGTGACCAAGATTTCAAAGCACTGTGTATTTTGTACCAGTTTTTCAAAGGCTTAAAGCTATGTTTTTAATGAAGTTTCACTAGCATTAAAGCCTAAATTGGAAACTCTCCTGACATCTTAACTAAGCCTCCTGCCTTACCTTGAAGGAATGAACTTGGCGGGTTTTCCACTTGGAGCCACCAGAGTTCAAGCTGCTTGCTCTTGCCATCTGTGGAAAGAGGACCTTCCCTCCTTGCTAAGCAGATACTAAGCAGATACGAAGCTCGGGAAAGCACCTGAAGTCGCATGTGCAGTGGTGCCTGTAGGGCCTCATGACAACACTGTGAACACAGTGAATGGCCGGTGAGTAAGTGGTCTGCTTTCTCTCTTTGAAATCAGGTTTTTACCTGGGATGCACCTTGGCGGACAGACTTCAGCTCACGCTTGGGCCTAAAACAGAACTAGAGTCTAGTTTCTCCATGGGGCTGTCTTCCCAGTCCCGTCTGTGGTTTGCATGGAGAAGCAAATGCAACCATATTTGAGGCTAGCCCTTGTTTTGAAATGAATTGCTGGGAGAGGAGAGTGCATTGACTCCAGCTATAAAATGATGGACATGCTGATTAAGCATTAGCCTCGTCAGAGCCAGCCAGTTTTAGGAAATTTAAGAGAAGAAATACAAGAGTACGTGCGCATTAGGACCCAGGAGGCCATCTAGTCAACATAAATGGGTGAACTAGAGAAGGGGCTACTTCTACCTCATTCCCGACTATAGTGAGAGTAAGTCATTGGCAAAGTGTAGTTTACAGGAATTTAAAGGTCGAAGTCTGTACAATGCTTTTTTAATTGGAAAATATTAAATTACAGCTCAGAAAAAGATGCCAAGAAAGGCATCTCAAATAGACAGCAATGTATTTGGGACAAAGGGAAAAGCTTTGCTGGTACTCCATGTTTGATGTCTGATGTCTGCCTTAAACCCAAACACAAGTTGATAACATAGTTGGGAAAGGAGATCAAACGTCACAGGCAGTAAGTCTCATTTTACGGGGTGTAAGTGAGTCTTCGTCAAATCTTCAGAAAAGACTGTTTCCATTCTTAATATAGTAAATATAGTAAATAATAGTCCAACACTCAGGGAGGCAGGACAGGTCACGAACACGGTCCCCTGACTTTGTGCTCAGTTCTCAGTAGCGACGGCAGCACCTGAAAAGGGACTGATTGGGCTGGGTTTGCCAAGTTGGTACTTTTCGTCATGGCTTGTTACCTGCCCGCACCTCCAAGGTAGAACATTCTCCAAGTACTTCACCTTTTTCTTCGCGTTAACTTACACACTCTGCAAAGAGCTAGCGCAGGTAGCATTCACAAGAAATACTTGACAAAGCAACGTCCATTTGCCCCATAGCTGTTCGCTGTTCCTTCTGACTTACAAGTATTCCCACTGCATACACATACTGAGGGGCAGACCACCAGACTCCCAGCCCTAGTCTGAAAGGTTATGGGCAACAGATGGAAACACTGCTTTTGGAAGGAAGTAGGACTAATTGAAGAAATAACATTAATATCGAGGCACTATTCCTCTCCAAAGCCCCTGAGTTCTAAGGATTTGACAAGAGGATGAGGGGATTTGACTAACCCTGGGTTAAGAGAGAGAGTTGAGTTTTGCTAGATTTTTCTGTCTTCCATTTACGATCCCCTTTTAATAGCTTCTGGGGTTGACTCCTAAAGGAACAACAGATGTACTGAGTACTTTATGCACTGGCAAATATAGATTAGAACGTACCCTGTATTTTTAGAAGGTCATTTGACATTTTGGTGTAAACATTTTAATCGGAACAAAACTCTCTTTATTTGAAGACTTGCCATGGAGGGGGGAACAAAATGAAAGAGCTCTATGTTCCTGCTTGGTCTGTGTCTAAGGCATTGGATGGGAAAGTTCCTGGGGAGAGGAGGGGAGGAGCGGCACCAGTTGTGAGATGCATCACCTCAGTGCTGACTGAAGCATTATGTTAACCTAATAGCAATATATGAATGCATTCAGGGTACAAATGATTTATAAAGACAAAAGAAATTAGTTTATGATAAAACATGTATAATGTTCAGTTCAGTCTTTGCTTTAACACAGGTGGCTCAGTCAGTCTGTTCGCTAAGCAGTCCCCATTCCCCTGTGTCTACTGTGCTTTCTTGGCCATCACTCCATTCAGTGTGGAGAAGTAGGCTTTGGAAATACCGTTTTTAACTTCTTTCCCTGCAGGTAGGTCTTCTACAACTTTCTTCATTGGCTTTTTCCGGTATGTCTGTTGGAGGTATACATTTTGAAGAAAAATGAGAATAGATTTTTAGTAAGAATCTAATGTTGCAATATGATTTTCAAAACTCTAAAGATAAAAACAGGATACAACCCAAGACAAGTGCATACATGGTGCAAGGAAAGGTGGTTTTTATTTACCCTCGTCACCTAGGCTCAGATTTGTGTTAGCATTCGAATTAACCTGCACTAGGGGGTACTTGGTAAGGATAAAGATTGAGTGTTAAGGTATTATTTGTAAAGCTCAAGGTCAGCGGTTCAAGCTCACTAGCCACTCCTCAGAAATCCTATGCAAGGTCAGTATGAGTCGGAATCAACTCGATGGCACTTATCCACAAAACCAAAAACCAAACAAACTTGTTCTTATTCAACATGAGGTACTGTTGGTAAGAAAAACCTTAAATCAAAGAGGCCCACTCAAGCTGCCTTAGACTGCCAGAAGTGCTCTAACGAGTGTCCCAGCTACTGGAAATTGTGGACCTCACTACTTCCTCATTTCATGGCTTCAGATGGGTGGAGGACCAAACAGCAGCCAGGCCTCAACTCACCCTTTGTCAATTGATCTTAGAGAGCGTGGGCCTGGAGGCAGCTAATCACATTAAGATTAGCCAGTGGATGAGCTCAATTTCTCCCTCCTCTTCTCTTTATGGACTTCCACTGTGGGTTAATGCACTGGACTACAAAGTGAGTTTGAACCACAAGGGTGGTGGTTCAAGATAACCAGTCCCCCCTTGGAACCTCCGTACCGGGTTGCTATGTATGGGTCAGAACTAACTTGACTGCGCTTAGCAATAACAACTGTTTAGGGGTTCTGCCTATATGCTTCTCTTCAAGTTTTAACACTAAATCAACACCAACAATGACTCCCCTAACACTTCTCGTGGTTTTGTTTCCATTGGTGGGTATTTCACTAGAAAAAAACTGTTATCTATTATAAAAGACAACGCCTAGCCAGCCCAATTTCAGAACTACAAGAACTGGGAAGTTGCCAAAAAAGTTAAGTTCCCACGAACCAGAGGGAAAAAAAAATATCAAGAAGTACTTATTGTTTTAGAGTCCTGTTTCCAATCTACAAACACAGGAGGACCGCTCGATTTGCTACTTTGATCAGCTCTTGTGCAAGGGAGAGTTGCTTTAAGATTGCATTTTGAAATTCTCTTCATTGAATCTCAATTAAATCAAGGTGACACACTTGATAAAAAGTAAAATGTGACCTTTCCCACACTTGCTCTTGTTAAGTGCCATCGAGTCGGTTCCGACCCTGTGTTAACGAGAGCAGAAAGCCTCATCTTTCTCAGGCGGAACAGCCAGTAGTTTCGAACTGCTGACCTTGTGGTTCGCAGCCCAGTTCGTAACCACTACGCTACCAGAGCTCCCTTTTCCCACACTAGTCTGTCTGAAAGGAATTTTTTCCGAGTAAACTGTGTTGCCTACAATATCACCCAGTAGCTTCTGTGGGAAAAAGAACTTATACTAAGTTCATGAAGCCCATGTTTTTTCCTCCATTCACATAAATTTAAACACTGTCTAGAGTAAGACAGAGCTAAGAAAACTTTTAGAATGTTAGGGTCTGGTTGAATGATGGAAATGAAAAATGATGTTTGACCCTACGTTGAAAACTGTTTACTAGAATGCTTGCTAAATGATTAACATAGGGCATCTTTCAAGGAGGTGAACATGGGGATAGGAGTTAGGAATGCATGTTGTTTCACTTATGACTTTGTGCCTGAACCTCAGTAACTGCATTTATCATAAGCTAAAGGTGGTGCCAGACTGGGCAGCATTTTGTTGTATTACAATCTAAGCATGCCATGTGTCACAGCTGATTTGAGGGCATTTTACAATCAGTAACATTACACAAATATAGAAGATGGAAGTAAACAGTGTGTCATGTGTGCCCAATGAGTATTTATACTTCACTTACCTGGACATAAAAATTCAAGAACAGGACCACTAAGGTGAGCATGTAGGAAGACTGGAAGATGAGACACCCGAATGGGAAGCCGCAGGGTCTGACAACAGCGCTCATGGTGTGAGTGATGGTGAGAAGGAACTGGACCTGTGAGGGGCCAAGAGCGGCACTGAGAGGGGCTATGCAACCAGGAAGAAAGAACCTTTCTAATAACTGAGAGATCAACTACGATTGCTCCCTAAAATGCAGGAATAAAACACTGAAGGCACCCTGCTATGCTACACAGACAACTTACTTGAAATTCTACTAGTAAGTATTGAGTGGTAGCACCCTAAATTAACTCAGGTCCTGATGTGAGCAAAGATCTGAGGGCACAACTCCATTTGCAATGTAAAGTAACTGCTGCATTGAGAATGCAGCCTGCCCTTCTGTAGCTCTCCACTGTGCCCTGAGATAATTACTGGGTACACAATTTCAGAGAACAATGGGATGGATGTTGCTTGATGAAGCAACACCCAGCTCAGGAAAGCCAGATCAAATGTTTCTCAGAACAAGGGCTTACTCAGGATAAATTTTAGAACTACCGTGTCCTCCCTATAGTCATACAAGAAGGCTCTCATGATTAATTTGGCCAGATGTACCCAAATTAATGATTACTTTGTTACCAAAAGAAGTAAATTTTTCCCCCCGTATTGTAGTGGCATGAGACAAAATAAACTAATTTGCTCAGTAAATTATTCACCCACACCAGTTTTAATTTTAGAAATGTCTATAATTTCCTATCAGTCCAGATGTACCTTCACCCAATATTGTAATCACTACCTAAATGTCAAGCAATCACAGAATTTTCACTGCTGCTCCTTGTGTTTTCTTACCCAAACTCTCTGGACTCCTGGCTCCTTGCATCTGTTGGTTCAGAATCCTCTAGACCTTGTTGTGATTCCCAATTTGCAATTGCCTTCCCTCTCAATAAAAGCTCTTTACTTTCCATTTCAGGCAGACTTGATGTGTTGCTCTATGACATTGCATGGAACTGCCCACTATTAACTCCCTGATGCAAAAGCAGCACTTAAAAAGGTATGCATGCATCTCCTTTCCAAAACGAGGCACTTTTTATTATAAGCAAATGGCATGCACAGAGGACACTGTCTTTAACACACCAGGTTATGGAGGGAAAAGGTAGACTCCTCACACAGAGAAACTCTGATTCCTAAGAAGACTGAGGCTTTGGCTCCCCTCCCCCTTCCCTTGAGAATACTTGAGCTCCCACCTGGAAAAGGACAGAATGAAAGAGCGTTTAACATACCAGTTGAGCCTGTGTGAGGTATCTCTTCCACCAAAGATACTTGTGCATAGATGGAAACACAGAGAGTCCATAGTAGGAATACATAAGAATGTGGATAAAGCTGTTTAGTGTTGGTCCAAAGAAACCTATGAAAGAACAGTATGAAAATTACTAGTCGTCTAGAAAGTGGGGACTGTTTATTTTCATAGTTGAAAGACAGGCTGCTAAAGAGACAAAGAAATGCCATTCTTCATAATTATTTCTGTCTGAAAGGGTCCTAGGAACAGGAGATACTGGGGAAGCTGAGAGAGACTGGAGGCCAAACAAGATGGCGTAAGGTTGGGAGTGAGGAGAACTGGTCAGTGAGGCCTTCCCTAGTGGTCGGCCCACCCAATTTACTTGAATGAGAAAGATATCTGAAAAGCAGTGTTAGGATACTTGCTGTGCTAAACTATGCCCTGTCCCCTGCAAATGACTCTACTGTGATTATTGCCAATGCAGGTGAATCGGGTTTGAGGATACCATGGAGATTGGGCTATGTCCCATGCTGGATCAACTAAGGGTCAGAGGATTTAGCTTCAAGACCTGAGATGTAAGAGATGGGAACTCAATACAATGTGTACACACTACAGTGGGCAGCACAAAGTGTTCGTTTGGCATCCAGATGGCTACAGCCAGGACACCTTGGACACATGAACTTTGTGAATTTTAATCATTCCCATCTGTAAAATGGCTAGGATATTAACAACTACCTCCGAAGGCTGTGGCAGGAGAAAACTGAGCCAGTATAAATACTACAGCAAATAAACTAAAAAGCACTTTACATATATACTAGTTAATCATAATTCTCTAGCTTGGTTTTCTATTCTTGAGTTAGATATCAGGAGAGATCAATGCAAATAAATGACTACAAAATGAAAGGTACAAAATCATGCATGTTGTTAAGTGCTCAACAGATACTGGCTGGAATAAATAGTTTAAGTACCTTAACTGATAGGGAAACACAAATACAGTGTGAGATTACAAAGTAGAACAATACTGGTGATATTTCTCTTGTTAAGTACAATCGAGCTGGTTCCAACTCATAGCGACCCTGTATAGGGTTTCCAAGGAGCAGCTGGTGGGTTTCAGCCACCAACCTTGTAGTTCACAGTCCAGCGCTTATTATACAGTGTCACACGTAGCATCTTTATGCCCTCTTCCCTCCGGATTGATGTCCTTCTTCACATCCTGGCCTCTAACTGAACCTTCGCAATATAAATATCCTCAGAGCCTTTGTCTCATCTCTACAGGATACGCACGCCTAGGACAGACTCTTGCTGACTGCAGTTTTACCTGTTTTGACTTGTAAGAACATTTTAAATTCAGAATATTCTTCAATTCTTGGATACAAAACATACATCCAAAGGAAAACACTGCTTTCTCTGGTTTCTCAACTCTAGGTTGTGCCTGACAGCTGAGTGGATTGTGAAGTACAGTGTGGTGAGTCAACAGCTGTTTGTAAGACAGAATTTAACCAACAGAAAAGCCATCTGAGTGCATCACACAGAGCCAAGGTAAATACCAACTAATGAAATTTCTGTTTCTCACAAAGTATTTACATATAAATTAGTACATTTGGTTGTGATATTTTTCTTATTGTACTTTTCTAGTAAAAAGACAAAAGAAAGTGTAACACATGGAGCTGTAACCTTAATTTTTCAGTATTAAATGTCAGAGCCCCTAAAAATTGAAGTGACCCAATCTCTGCTAGGGAGCGTGCTGACCATGCATGGAAGGCCTCCTACTAACACAGCAGCCCTGACCACTCCTGGTGCAGGAGGTCTCTTGGCATGTGTGTTCGCTGCATCTGACCACATGACCTTCAGCGCACGGAGAAAAATGTATTTCTTAATTCCGTGTAACGCTCAGATATCACCAGTATCTGGGACTAGAAAGTAACCCTTGGCAAGTAAGTACTTGATGATTGGTTCTCTCATATTCCCCTCACTCTCATCATCCCCACATGAGATCCAATACAGACTGAAAAAGCCACAGGTCACTTACTTTGTCCACAAGGTATCCAGTTCAGAACACACCACCAGATGTTAAACATAGAGGCATGGTGATACACGTGGAGAAAAGTAATCTGACTGTTTTTTTTCCGCAAAACAAAGAAAATTGTGTCCAGGAACTCTATTAATTTGGAGAAGTAGTACCACCATAACACTTTGGCTACCTATGAGAGTTTTGAAAAGGGGGAAAAAAGGAGTAAATGAGTACGTTCCATGTGCCCCACCCCTCAGCAATCTGAGTGCCACCCTTGCTCCCTGCTATCTACACCACTAGGACCAAGGCTGAGCTGCTTTTCTCAAACACCCTCCGCAACTGTTTGACTACAGGATAGTTCAAGGTCATGCGTGCTTGTTGACGTATGCACCATCCTCCTCCCAGCACACACACCAGTAAGTGTCCCGTGAGATGGCCTATTTTCTTCTGTGTGCAGCTTCGTCCTAATTCGCAAACTGTATTCTCAGTCATCCTTTTACACCCTTTTCACTGCAAATTCACCTAACTGGCTCCTTTCCTTTTTCGGGCTGAATCAACTGCATCTTCATGTGTGTTCCCAAATTACTTGACCTGCGCCTCCATGGTCAGTGCCACAGCACAGAGTAGAGAGGCTCCCTCCTTCACGTCTGCTCAGTGCCCGGCCCTCAGCTAGAGACCATTACTGTTCTCTGTCTTTACTAACATTTCCCTCCCAAGGCCCTTATCCTTTTGGAGACATTGAATATCAATCATACTCTGTTGTCTGTCTCCCAAGCAGAAAATCATAAGGTGTGATAAGAAATAGCCATCAGTGTTTGATGCAATAATTAACCTTCAAAAAATAATAATCACAATGATCTTTAGAGAACTGTATGGTAACCTATAATGGTTAGGGTTCTGTGTCAACTTAACTAGACCAGGTTGGTGATGAAACCTAATACAGGCATAGTTAGCTCTATGATGATTGCCAACCAACTGAAGGGATGCTTCCTTGGGGGTGTGGCCTGCTCCAAATATAATAGATACACAGGAGTCCTACATTTATAAGCTGTTTCTTTTATAGTAAACTTCTCTTTATATATACATGTTGTGTTTTTAAGTACCATTCAGTAGGTTCCAACCCATAGTGATGCTGTATAGTGTTTCCAAGGAGCAGCCAGTGAGCTTGAACCGCTGAAGTTGTGGCTCACACCAACTTTGCATTCCAGCGCATTAACCCACAGTGTTTCATTGATTTTGCTTCTCTAGAAAACTCAAGGTATAACTCCAGTGTGACAGTTTGTGATCATGCATTATACACACATTGTTGTCATTGTTAAGTGCTATTGAGTTGGTTCAGACTCACACCAACCCTGTACAGCGTTTCCAAGGAGTAAGCTGGTTGAGTCTGAACTGCTGACCTTGCAGTTAGCAAGCAGTCCAGTGCTTATCCTACAGTGCCCCGTATCAGAGCGCCAGAGAAAAGACTGTCTCTAGGTGAGCTTGAACCAGCAACCTTGATATTAACTGTCAAACACACTAACCAATTGTGCCACAGTTTGATATGGAGAATGCTATATATAACAGCTTTTAAAAATTTATATATATATCTTCTAACATCTCTGTTAGCACTAACACATGCTTTTTAATTTTAGAAAATTTTAAACTTCACCTATCTGAAACCCTGTTGTATCCATGTCTGAACTTCAAAAATAATGAACCATGAATTCTATTTCCTACTCCGTTTTGTTTTCTTTAAGAGGAGGGGAGTGCCAAATACTGCAAACTAATCCAAGGTATCATGATTTCACATGTAAACATTTATCTCATTCAGGGAAACGTTTCTGGTGGTTGTTTTATTATAGCTAAAATGCCGTAATTTTGCCTAATAGAATGATTCATTAAATATTCCAATAACAATGGTGTAGTGCTGTTGGCTAATGTGTCAGACTGCAAAGTCAGTGGTTCAAGCTCCCCAGCTGCTCCTTGGAAACCCTATACAGGGTCACTATGGGTCAGAATCCACTCAGTGGCACATAACAATAATCCAGGCCATATTCAAGGTCCACTGGGCATCTGTTTACGTCCTATGGTCCTTCTTCAGAACCGTTCCCTCGCTGACCAGTTATATTTCAAGGATTCTGGATCTGGATGAGGATTTCTTTGTAGCTTCATTTAACTTGCTTCACACATTTCCTGTAACTAGCAGTCAGATCAAGGAACCCTGGTGGGGCAGGGGTTTAAATGCTTGGCAGTTAATGGAAAGGTGGGTGGTTCAACTGCCCCAGCCATTTAGCAGAAATAGTATGTTACAGTCTCCTCCATAAAGATCACAGCTTTGGGGACCTGGCAGGTCAGCTCTCCTCGGCTCTGTAGGGTCTCTATGACTTAGAATCTACTACTGGCAGTGCTTAGTTTTTTAATTTTTTTCAAAAGAACAAATAAAGGTAATCCTAATATTTCTCATTTCAAGTTTTGATTAGTGGGTTTCATTTTAACTTCCTTATTTTTAATTGGTATGATTACATCTATGTTTTTAATATTAATTCCAATGGTATTTCTAATTCCAATGGTATTACATTAAGGAGCTCTGGTGGCACTGTAGGATAAGCACTGGAGTGCTATCTTCAAGGTCAACAATTCAAATCCACCCATCTCTCCAAGGTAGAAAGATGAGGCATTCTGTTCCTGTTACGATTCACAGCCATGGAAAACCTATACAGGGTTGCTATGAGTTGGAATTGACTTTAGGGCAGTGGTTTATGTTGTTTTGGATTGGTATTATATTAGCATTAGCATATTATATATGTACTTGATGCTATGATAGTGAGGTTGGCCCAGGATCGGGCAGTGTTTTGTTCTGCAGAGCATAAGCTTGCTATGAGTCGGTACCGACTTGATGGCACTCTAGCTCTTGTGGGGATCCCCTCATTCCACTCTACAGAGGCATCCACTGTGTGGATCATGTGTATCATGGGTTATGCAGTCAGCTCCTACAGGTGGGCATGTGGAAAACCCAGCTGTGTTACCAAACATTGCTACCAGAGCAGGACCTTTTTCTTATCTAATCCCAGCCCCATGCTCGCATCTTGAAGGACAAGAAAGCCTTTTTTTTTTTCTTCTCAGAACCAGTTATCAGTTTGCTGTTAACGACTCACCCGGATATCAGCTTTCCCTGCACTGGTGAGATCTTGGCACTGTAAGTTGTAGCCTCCTTCCCAACTGGAAAGAATGAGCTGCCCAAGAAACAAGAACAGAAAACATCAGCACAGAAAGGTAGACACAAACGGAATTTCCCATATTTCTGACTGACATGTATTTAAGGATTGGATAGAGCCTTCCTTGAATTTAATCTGGTCCTCAAACATATACACCAACGGACCTAACTATTGGGTCTGAAATGAAATGAACAGTTATTCTAAAGTAGTACATTTTATTTCTAATCTTTCACAGTCTTTTGAGTAACAAAATAATATAAGGAGTTATCTAGTTCTGGTGTAGCACTGTAGAATCAGCACTGGACTGCAATCCACAAGATCAGCATTTCAAACCCAGCAGCTGCTTCTCAGAAGCCTTATACGAGTTTGTTATGTGTCCAAATTGACAGCACCAAATAACAACAATGTTTAATTAAGTACAGTATATAATTAATTCAATGTAAATAAATGCACAGAAATAACATGTGGAATTAAAAGAGAATGGAATTTTTCCACAAAAAGAGAATGGAATTTTTCCACAAACGTTTTGAAAGCTCTCATGGTATATAAGTATTTATCTTATTTGATTATCTCAACTTCATGAAATTGGTATTAATTGTCATTTTACAGATAGAAAATGAGAGCTCAGAAAGGTTCTTAAACCATATTCCTTCACTGCATTTGTTACTTGGTGACTAAGCAATCCCACCACTGATCTGTTTGTCATACTGTGGTGGTTTGTGTCTTGCTGTGATGGTAGGAAGCTATGCCACCGGTATTTTAAGTATCAGCAGGGTCACTCGTGGTGGACAGGTTTTAGCAGAGCTTCCAGACTAGGAAGAAGGAGAGGCAAACCACTTCTGAATGGTTAGGTACTGACACCTTATAGATCTGGCTGTGAAACATTGTCACATATAGTTCTGAAAGATGAGTGCCTTAGTCAAAGTAGAGTTTACCTTAATGATATGGTTGGAGTTAAGCTTTAAGGATGATGTTAAGATCTATCTTGAATTACAGTGTTGTAACAGAATAATATCCACAGGCCTACAAGGAAAACTAGTTAATATCACTATTATTCAAATGTTGTACACACCAAATATTAAAACCAGTGAGGATAAAATTGAATTCTATCCAGTTCTTTAGTCTGAAATTGATCAAACAATCAAGATGCATTGATAACTACTGGTGATTGCAATGCAAAAGTTGGAGACAAAAAAGGATTGGCGGTTCGAAAATATGGCCTTGGGAATATGGCCTTGGGGATATAAATGATGTAGAACCCATGTGAAAATTTTGCAAGACCAATGAATTCTTCATTGCAACTGCCATTTTTCAAATACTTAAAAGGTGACTATACACGTAGAACTCAATAGTTGTAATACACAGGAATCAAATTGACTACATCTGTGGGACGAGACAATGGAGAAGCTCAGTATCATCGCCAAAACTGGGGTTGACAGTGGAACAGACCAATTGCTCATAAAGTTCAGAATGAAGCTACAGAAAATTAAACAAGTCCACAAGAGCCAAAATATGACTTTAAACATATGCCACCTGAATTTAGACAACATCTCATGAACAGATTTGATGCATTAGACACCAATGATCAGAAGAGTTATGAGATGATATCAATAACATCATACATGAAGAAAGGAAAAGGTTATTTATTAAAAGGCTCAAAAAAAGGGAAAACCAAAACGGGTATCAAAGGAGATTCTGAAACTTGCTCTTGAGCACAGAGAAGTTAAGCTAATGGAATAAATGAGGAAGCAAAAGAGCTTAACAAAAATTTCAAAGGGCAGTTCAAGAAAACAAAGTCAAATATAGAAAACCAGAAGGTTTTCTGCCATTAGATGTATAAAGGTAAAAAGTAAACATACAGAGCAGTGGGACTCCTGGTTTGGCGCTGTAGGGTCTGCACTGGACTTCGAACCAGAAGGTCAGCAGTTCAAACCCAGCAGCTGCACCTTGGAAACCCTATACGGGGTTGCTGAGAGTCAGAACTCACTCGATGGCACTGCATAATAAATCATAACAGATCAGTGAGAGATGGGTATTAATTAATGTTGTTAAGTGCCGCCCAGCTGGGTATGAGCGGCTGATGTAGTTACACTGTAGACTGGCCCTTGTGATGTAGACAAGACATCTGAAAACAGCTCACAGAAACCTGCTGACTACTATCATCTTGCAAGCTGACTTAGAAAGGAGTAAAGAACTTAAAATAAAAATTTTCCTCTAGGGACAAATAAATAAGGGATGTCAGCCTGTCTTTCCTGACCCCAAACTCCAAATAATGTCTACAGTGCTATGATAAGCGTCTTATCCCATTCATTTCTAGTGGTCATTATTATACTCACAGAACAAATTCTGAGTGTGAGCACCCACATTTAAGGCAATGATTTATCCTACAATTCAAGTCCATTCGGAAGGCAGTTTCCACCAGTCATCTGTCAGTGTGTCATACTGTGGTGGCTTGTGAGTTGCTGTGATTCTGGAAGCTATGCCACAGGTATTTTAAATACCAGCAGGGTCACCCATGGGGGACAGGTTTCAGATGAGCTCATGTGACAAAGCTCATGCAGACGAAGACAGACTAGGAAGAAGGAGAGGAAAACTACTTCAAAATATTTAGTCCCTGAAAACTTTGTCAGATATAGTGACAGAAAATGAGCCCCTCACGTTGGAAAGCACTCAAAATGTGACTGGTAAGAGCTGCCTCCTCAAAGTAGAGTTGAACGTTCGTGATGATGAGAATGGAATAAAACCCTCAGGGCCTTCATTTACTGGTGGGGCACAACTCAAAATGAAAAGAAACACCTGTAAACATCCATTAATAATCAGAACGTGGAATGTACGAAGTATGAATCTAGGAATATTGGAAATTGTTAAAAAATGAACACATTAATATAAAAAACCTAGGCATTAGTGAGCTGAAATGGACTGGTGTTGGCCATTTTGAATCTGACCATCACGTGGTTTACTATGTCACGAATGACAAATTGAAGAGGAATGTTGTTGAATCCATTGAGAGAGAATATATCCTGATCAGTCATGAGGTACAAAGCTGTCTGTGATAGGATAATATCCATGTACCTATAGGGAAGACTAGTTAATTCCACTATTATTCAAATTTATGCACCAACTACTAAAGCCATTGAGAATGAAATTGAAGATTTCTACCAACTTCTCCAGTCTGAAATTGATTAAACATGCAATCAAGATATATTAATAAGCACTGGTAATTTGAATATAAAGTTTGGAAACAAAGAGGAAGGATCAGTAATTGGAAAATATGGCCTTGGTGATAGAAAAGATGCTGGAAGATCGCATTATAGAATTCTGCAAGGCCAATGACTTCATTTGAAATACCTTTTTTAAACAACATAAAAGATGACTATACACATGGACCTCACCAGATGAAATACACAGGGATCAAATTGACTACATGTGTGAAAAGAGATGGTAGAAAACCTCTATATCACCAGCTAAAACAACGCCAGGGGAGACTGTAAAAGACCATCAATTGCTCATGTGAATTCAAACTGAAGCTGAAGAAAATTAAAACAACTTCACAAGAGCCAAAATAAGACTTTGAACATATCCTACCAGAATTTATCATCTGAATAACAGATTTTATGCAATAGACACTAAAGACTGAAGACCAGAAGAGTTGTGGGATGATATCAAGAACATCATATAGGAAGAGAGGAAAAATTATGAAGACAAGGAAGGAACAGATCAAAATGGATGTCAGAATAGACACTGAAAGGAAGAAATCCAAGGTACATTGTAGGAATTGGCAAAGAACAAGGCACCAGAAATTAACGGAATACAAACTGAAATTGTTCAACAAAGTTTGACAGCACTGGAGGCACTCCAATTGTTGGAAGACAGCAATCTGGCCAACTGATTGAAATGTACACAAATATGGATGCCTGCCAAAAAGAGGAGACCCAATGGAATTTGGAAGTCATCGGACAGTATATTTGATATCCCATGTGAGTAAAGTTTTACTAAAGGTAACACAGAAACAGCTGCAACCATACATTGACCAACAACTTCCAGAGGTTCAAGTTGGATTCAGGAGAGGACGTGGAACGAGGGATATCATTGCTGTCATCAGATGGATCTTGACTGAAAGCAGAAGATACAAGAAAGATGTTTGTTTACCTTTGCTTTATTGACTATGCAAAGGCTTTCAATTGAGTGGATCATGACAAGCTATGGACAATATTGCGAGATAAGAGTATTCCAGAACACTTGATTGTGCTCATCTGTACCTGGACCAAGAGGCAGTTGTTCATTCAGAACAAGGGAACACTGAATGGTTTAAAATTACACAAGCTGGGCGACAGAGTTGTATTCTTTCACCATACTTATTCAACCTGTATGCTTAGCAAATAATCCGAGAAGCTGGGTTATATGAAGCAAAACGTGGCATAAGGATTGGAGGAAGACTCATTCAACCTGTGATATGCAGATGATACAGCCTTGCTCACTGAAAGTGAAGAGGACTTAAAATACTTACTGAGGAAGATCATGAGCACATCCTTCGGTATTGATTGCATCTCAATGTAAAGAAAACAAAAATCCTCAGTACTGGACCAAGAAACCTTCATTTCAATGGAGACAAGATTCAAGTAGTCAAGGACTTCATTCTTCTAGATGAACTATCAACACTCAAGAAGTAGCAGTCAAGAAATAAAATGACATATTGCACTAGGCAAATCTGCTGCACTAACACCTTTTCAAATTGTTAAAGAGAAAACATTTCAGCTGGAGGGCTAAGGTACGCCTGACCCAAACCATGGTATTTTCAGTAACCTCATATGCATGCAAAAGCTGGACAGTGAATAAGGAAGACCACAGAAGAATTGATGATATTGAGTTATGATCCAGGAGAAGAATACTGAAAGTACCACGGACTGCCAAAAAACAAACAAATCTGTGTTGGAAGAAGTGCAGCCAGAGTGCCCCTTGGAGGCCAGGATGGCCAAACTTCATCACTCACACTTTGGACATATTGTCAGGAGGGACCAGTCACTGGAGATGGATACCATGTTTGGTAAGGTGGAGGGTCAGAGAAAAAGAGGAAGACCCTCAGCAGACTGGATTGGCCAAGTGGCAGCATCAGTGGGCTCAAGCGTGGCAACAATAGTGAGGTTGGCCCAGAACTGGGCAGTGTTTCGATCTGTTGTGCATAGGGTTGCTATGAGTCGGTACTGACTTGGTGGAACCTAACAACAACAACAATGGAATGCAGTTTATACTTGTGTGCCAATAGCAGACATTTATGTCTGGTCCTGGTGTGGCGCTGCCGATTGACGCAGTGGACTACAAGGTCACAAGGTCAGATAGAACTGCATGGTCGGTCAACAGTTCAAACCCACCAGGTGCTCCTCGAAATCTATACAGGGTCCCTATGGGTCAGAATAGACTCTGTGGCACTTAACAACAAACATGAATAATTCTATCCTCATTTTCTCCTTAACAGATCTAATCATGCTTTTGTTCCCTTTGTGGCTTATTTATCCTCATTTTCTTTTTTGGCAAGACAAAGCTCATTTAAGATGCTTAGATTTTTCCTTGTATGGCAGTAGCCTTTGTTTTCTAGGCAGAACAATCATTACTTGTTCTTTCTCTTATAAAATTGGGCTTGGTGCCTGCCTTACAAAGGAATGGGCAGTGTGTGAGGTCTCGTGGGCAGCTAGAGCTGAGCTGGGATGCCCCTCAGGCCTCCTGAGGTCAGTCCTGAGTGAGGAACCACTAGGACGCTACCACAGTGGTTCAAAGATGAGGAGATGTATGTAAGGGGGCTTCAAAAGTTTGTGGAAAAATACCATTCTCTCTCAATTTAATTTTTCTGCAAATTTTTTGATACCCCATTTTAGTCAAACTAATGGCATCTGATATTCAAGTCGGTTTAAAAATTGTTTATAAATAGCTGTCTAGTCTCTATTTCTAAGGCTCATTGTGATAATTTATGAAAAAGAGAAAATTGTACAAGATATTTAAAGGCCCCCAGATCTAAATTTTTACTACAAATTACAATGGAAGATAATGACTGAAAAAAAAACCCCGCCTGACTGGAGAGGAGAAAATTCAAGTTTGAGATTAGGCCTCCCAGGACTTCCTGAAGGAATGAGATCAAACACTGAAACAGTTCTTTTGAGTGCTATGGAGTCTGTTCCTATAAGGTTTCCCACGAGTGGCTGGTGGATTTGAACTGCCGATTGTGTGGGTTAGCAGTCCTTAGTCACCTTACATTCAGATGCTCCTAGAAATTGCTCAATTACCCAGCTGTAGCTTTGGCTACAGAAACACTTACCTCTACCAGCATATATACAGAGAGAAGTGTGATTCCAAGGTTATATAAGGTGAGGGTACCCCTGAGAGAAAGAGCAGGTCTGTTCTTCATGTATTTGGTACCCAACCATATTGAAAGCAGGTATATGACAGTCAGAAAAAAGGTAGGCAGGTAAGAGTCCAACATGAACCATCCTCTGACACGAGAATCTGCAAAGAAACACACAGCAAAAACCTTGAGAAACAATTGTGTTCCATTTGTGAAATACTGTCACATGTTTTATTTGGGCAAAAATAAGATAAATCCTTAAGTAAACTTAATTGGGTTACTAGAGTTCAGAGGAAGAAGCAGCAGTGTGTATGTGTGTGTAGGGGCGTGATGGGGTTATTAAGGAAGGTTTCATGGAGCTAATCACTTAACTGGAACACTAATAGCAAAAAGAAAACAAGGAAGGGAAGCAATAGTTCTTAAATGTGTATTTACTCTAACTCAGTTCTGGTGATGCTGTGTAAGATAAGCACTGGACTGCCACCTGCAATGTCCACAGTTTAAACCCAGCAGCTGCTCCTCAGGAACCCTATACAGGGTTACTTTGAGTCAAAACCAAATCGATGATGGAACTTAACGATAATCAGCAGTTGCTGTGACGCCCTTGTCTTGGTGTCTTTGGCTCTCCCACAGTTTCAGTCCATTTTCTTGGTCCACCTACCCAGGCACAAGTATCTTCTCCAGTTCTAAGTGTTCAATTTTTAAATTTCTTCTAGTTGTTACTGAGCTGAAAAAGGCGAGAAAGGAAGTCTCTTCATTCCTGTGACTCACAGATTGTACTGTTCATACTACTTGCTCATCATGACCTGCATGTGTCATAAATAAATGCCGCTTTCTATATCCAACTCCGATGTCCATCTCACTCACACTTTAATGCCCAGGAGTCTGTTTCTACTCTCTCAAAACTGCAACTTTAGTAATCTAAAAATGATCCTTTTATGCTTCATGTATGATGACTCATGTGATTACACCAGGAACTCTTCTAAAGCCTTTTACACACATTACATATTTAGTTCTCAAAGCTACCCTAGTCTATAGATGATACTATGCCCTCTGGAGTCCTAATGTGACACTGCAGAAAAATGCACTGGACTGCAAGGTGGCAGTTCAAACCCACCAGCCACTCCTTGGAAACCCTATCCAGGGTCCTGATGAGTGAGCATCAACTCTATAGCACTTAACAACAATAACTTTATTCCCAGTTTACATTTAAGAAGCACTGGGCCATGGAAAACAAAGTTCAATAACATGGTATAACTTAAACTCCTGTTATTCTGATACAGTTGTTGGTTGAACTGTGCCCCAGAACACAGATTGAAGTCCTAACTCCAGTACCTGTGAATGTGACCTTGTTTGGAATTAGGGTCTTTGCAGAGGTACTCAAGTTGAGATGTGGTTATCCTAAGGTGAGGTGCCAGTCCAATGACGGCTATCCTCATAAGAATGGGTGTTGTGGGTACAGGGACACAGAGAGTTCTAGAATGCTGAATTAGAATGTCTCTTCTATAAGCCAGGAGAAGCCAAGAATTACCAGCAACCACCAGAAGTTAGGAGAGAGGCATGAAGCATATTCAAGGTGAAAAAAATTTCTGTGGTTTTCAGCCACTCCGTTTGTGGTTCTGTGAGAGCAGCCCTAGGAAACTCACACAAACACATGGTTTAAATGCTTCCAGCGGTTTCCCATGTGTTAATTGTATCACCTCAAGTAGAGTACGTGCTCCAGGAGGGAGCTTGGTGTTGGTGGTGATGTGCCGTGTAGTCGGTTCTGACTCATAGCGACCCTATACAGGGTTTCCAAGGCTGTAAATCTTTACAGGAGCAAAAAGCCTCCACTTTCTCCCACGGGACAGCTGGTAGTTTCAAACTGCTGACTTTGAGGTTCACAGCGCAGTTCATAACCTCCTGGTGTAGCGCTGTGGGTTAATACGTCAGACTGCAAAGTCAGTGGTTGAAGCTCACCAGCTCTTCCTTGGAAACCCTACACTGGGTCGGAATTGACTCAATGGCACTTAACAACAAAAACACTACCAGATATCCTTAGGAAGGAAATTAGGTCTTCTATTTCTCCTGTCTCACAAGTTAAGTACATCCAGACTGAGGTGAGTGGAACAGTTCTTAAATACGTATCACAATTGGCACACTAAATCAAAAACATATTACAACACCTCACGTTTCCCCTTTTCTCTTGTGGACCTATAAATGTTCACTGCAATTGGCAAGGCAATTAGAGCAAACACTTGTAATAAAAGAAATTATCTTTGGGATGTGTAAATTGTTAGCTCTGGATCCATGCTAGGTCTGATGGTTCTAATATCATGTTGGTAAAACCAGAAAATATGAGGGGAAACCAGGTATAGCAGTGTAGAATAAGCACTGGACTGTTAAATCCAAGGTCGGCAGTTCAAACCCCCAGCCCTCCTCTGAAATCATGTACAGGGTTACTATGGTGTGAATGGACTCCATGGCACTAACAGTAGCAACATAGATGTTCTCTTAGGTGGCCTGCCAGTCAAGGGGAGAAGGGTTTTGGTGGCTGAGATGCTGGACACCGGTCACTGAACAGGTAGTCTGATTTGGTGATCATTTGTCCATTTTATCATCAACTTGCTACAAGGAAACATCCACAAAAAATGACCAGCTGAGTAAACAACTACAATCTTATCTTTAATTGATCCCATACACTCGGGTAGAGGAGTGGTTACGAATCAGGTTGTGAATCGCCAAGGTCAATAGTTCGAAACTACCAGCTGTTCTGTGGGAGAAAGATTAAGTTTTCTGTTCCCGTAAAGATTTACAGCCTCGGAAACCCTCTACAGGGGCACTATGAGTCGCAACTGACTCCCCGGCACACAACAACAACATACCTGTATAATTCCAGATTGCCTATGATCTTACTGTAACAACAAAGTTCACTTTGAACTTGGCTTGGAGATTTTGTTGTTTAACACTCAAGTTGAAGTATCAAATGCAAACCCATATTCACAAAGAAACTTCAGTTCCTCCCTGCATACGGCATGCCTACGGTAGTTAAGAGGTCTTTCTGTAGTCCACGAGAACTGTCAGGTAGACAGAGTGCTACAGGAAAACTAACATACAGATAACAGGGCTCTGTCCATTTTCCAGGATCACATGGAGATAAAATGCAAAAAAATAAACTAAGTGAAAGTATTTTCAAAAAACAAAACCTCTTTACATTTTGTTGTGTTGTTTTTGTGAAGTGATGTGGATCTGTTCCGACTCATAGCAACCCCAGTATAGGGTTTCTGAGGAGCAGCAGGTGAGTTTGCCATTCAACCCAACCTTGCAGTCTAGTGCATTAACCCACAGTGCCACACCAGGACTCCTCTGCATTTACTGAGCAGTATATATTAAAATTGTCAGGTGTCATTGAGTCGGAACCGACTCATAGCGACTCCATACACAGCAGAATGAAACAATGTCCGATCCTGGGCTAACCTCACTACCACTGCCACACTTGATGCCATCAATGATGTCACTTAGCTGATCCATCTCATTGGGGGTCTTCCTTTTTTTCTCAGACCCTCCACCTTACTCAGCATGACATCCTTCTCCAGCGACTGTTCTCTCTGGACAATGTGTCCAAAGTAGGAGAGACGAAGCCTAGCCATCTTAGCCTCCAAGGAGCACTCTGTTTGTACTTCTTCCAAAACAGACCTATTGGTTCTTTCGGCAGTCCACGGCACTTTCAGTATTCTCCAACACCACAACTCAAAGGCATCATTTCTTCTACGATCTTCCTTATTCACTGTCCAGCTTTCGCATCCATATGAGGCTATTGAAAATACCATCGCTTGGCTCAGGCGCACCTTAGTCCTCAAGCTGACATCTCTGCTCTTCAATACTTTAAAAAGTTCCTGTGCAGATTTGCCCAATGCAATACGTCGTCTGATCTCTTGACAGCTGCTTCCGCGAGTGTTGATAGTTGATCCAAGAAGAATGAAGTCCTTGACAACTTCAATCTCTTCTCCATTGATAAGAATGCTGTTTACTGGTCCAGTGGTGAGGATTTTAGTTTTCTTAATATGTTTCAAGTCCTCTTCACTTTCAGCAAGCAAGGTTGTATCATCAGTATATCGCAGGTTGTTAATGAGTCTTCCTCCAATCCTGATGCCACGTTTTTCTTCATAGAACCCAGCTTCTTGTATTATTTGCTCAGCATACATATTGACCAAGAATGGTGAAAGAATACAACCTTGTCGCACACCTTCCCAATTTTAAAACATTCAGTGTTCCCATGCTCTGTTCGAACAACTGCTTCTTGGTCCAGGTACAGATTCCTCATGAGCACAATTAAGTGTTCTGGAATACTCATACTTTTCAATGTTGTCCATAGTTTGTCATGATCCACACAACTGAAAGCCTTTGCATAGTCAATAAAGCACAGGTAAACATCCTTCTGGTATTCTCTGCTTTCAGCCAAGATCCATTGGACATCTGCAATGATATCTTCGTTCCACGGCCTCTTCTGAACCCAGCTCGAATGTCTGGAAGTTCTTTCAATGTATGATTGTAGCCGTTTCTGTATTACCTTTAGCAAAACTTTACTCGCTTGAGATATCAAAGAGATGGTGTGATAATTTCCACATTCTGTTGGGTCACCTCTCTTTGGAATGGGCACAAATATAGATCTCTTCCAATCAGTCGGCCAGATAGTTGTCTTCCAAATTTCTTGGCAGAGATGAGTGAGTGCCTCCTGTGCTGCCTCACTTTCTTGAAAGATTTCAATTTTTATTCCATCAATTCCTGGAGCCTTGTTCTTTGCCTCAGTCAAGAGGAGGTAGCACAGCAGGAGTGACAGGGTTTTAATGAGATGCTTTGGGCTGAGGTTGTGGGTCTCTAACTTGGTCGACTCCACCTCAAAGCCATGATCCAGTGGCTAGGCTGGGACTGCGCCCTCGTTTCCTGGGTAAGTAGGACAGCCTGGCTGGCCGCTGCAGTCTCTTCCTGCTAGGCAGTGCCCCTCTCCCGTCTCTCCCCCGCCCCGCCGACCTGGTCTCCAGACACCTCTCACCCCGCCGCTCCATATTCTCAGTTTCATTTAACATCTCCACCAGGTCAGCGCAGTTCTCGCACATCATTCAGCTGCTGCCCATTAGCGCGACCATTTATGTATGTGTGTGTGTATATATATATATACGTATATATATGTATATATATATACACACACATATATATTTATATATATAACTCTTAAAATGCAGTATATGAAACCTGTATAGAAGCTGGGGAGTGCTCTAAATGATCCCTACATCAGTACCCTCACTCTCCACCCAACATTGATAGTCCTGAGGAAATAACTTGAGGAGAATTATATGGTTTTCTAGTTCTGTTAACCAGCAAGGCTCAAATGAGACATGCTGTCTAGAATTTATTCATTTATTATAAACTACATGGTGCAAGTAGGCACCTATAGACTTCTAGTGTGGTGCTGCAGCATAAGCACTGGACTGCAAGGTTGGTTTGAACCACAAGGACAAATGTTCAAACTTATAAGCTGCTTCTTAGAAACCCTATACTGGGTTACTATGAGTCGGAACTGGCTTGAAGGCACTTAACAACATTAGTAGGCACCTGGGAGCACAGTGGAGCCATAGGATAAGCCATGGATTATGAATCACAAGGTTGTCAAGTTTGGACCAAGCAGCTGCTCCGTAGGGGAAAAGTTGAGGCTTTCTGCTCTCGCAAAAAGATTAAAAAGCCTCAGAAACCCTATACAGGGTTGCTATAAATTGAAACCAACTCCATAGCACTTAACAACAACAGACACCTGGGGTACCTGTCTTGTACAAAGGGTTAACGTTATCTCTAATCAATTGGCGGAGGTGCAAATTCACCCAGAGGTGCTTCTGAAGACTTACTAATCTATGTCCAACAAATAAGCCACAGAAAATATGGCGCCCAATTCTACAATAACAAACATGGGGTGGCCAAGAGACTGGGTACAACTGTGACAAATTGTAGCATGTTCTCAGAACTGGGATAGAATGGTGAACAAAACAGTCATGGCTCCTCGCCTCAGGAAAGCAATACTGCAACAACAAGGTATAAGAAGAAAATAAACAGGCTCAAACAAAGAATAATGAGGGACCTCCTGGTGTGGCGCTGTAGGATCAGCACTGGACTGCGAACCACAAGGTTACAGGGTTGTCATGAGTCAGAACAATACTTCAGATTAGCTATCAATGAAAGCCCATCTCAGAAGGCAACATTTAAGATACCTGAAGTATGAGAGTGTGGTAACCATGTGGGGTGGGGTGGGGTGGGTGGGGGAGGGATATTTAGAGGGGATCCAAGCACAAGGAACATGTGTCCCTTCACACCTTGGAGGAAGAGAACCCTGTGGAGAGTGGGTCTGTAGAGAAGCCGGATGGGACTAGATGATACAGGGGTGTCCATGACAGGAAGTTTCATTCTGATCAGACAGGCACCGGTGTTTTACAGTAGAGTGCCACACAGTATGTTTTGGATCTTTAAATGCCATTTTGGCTGACACTTTAAAAATAATTTGTAGAGAGGAGACTAAGTAGGAGGTCACTGTAGTACTCAAGTGCCATCAAGTCAGTTCTGACTTACAGCAATCCTGCGTAGGTTTTCGAGGCTGTCAATCTTTATGGGAAAAGAAATCCTCATCTTTCTCCTGAGAAGCGACTGGTAGACTCCAACCTCTGAACTGCTGATTTGAGGTTCAGTGCTTATTCTAAAGAGCCACCAGTGATTCAGACTCAGGGACTAGTGATCAAAGAATGATTGAGCGGCTCCTAAATTAACGGAACAGTCCTTGACATTGTTTATGTGTAAGGGCAGTGATACTATGTATGACTGTGATTGTCAGGAAGGTGGCTGAATGAGTGGTAGAGAAAAGGGAAGGAAGAAGTTAAAGCTGAAGGCAGAGAAAGATGTAGAATAATTTAGAAGGAAAGTTACAACCTGGCTTTAGTAGCCAGAGACACCAGAGGTACTGTATTTCATTCCACCTGCTACCTGCTCCACAGAAGTTCCTTACTCCATGCGGAGAAGCTAAGCAGGAGCAATAAGGGGCCTTTTGTACCTTCCAGGAGAAGTACTATTATCAAAGGTGAGGAAATCCACATTTAGAACTGCTAAGTGCCATATTATTTTCATCAGACATTTCCTAAGCCTTTTCTATAATTCAATGCATTCTTCCATGTGTTCCTTCCATATTAGGTTCTCACTCACCTCGAGGTCCAAACATATAGTCCAAAAAAGCATTGGTTTCGTCATCAATAGTCTTTAGATGCTCCTTAAAAGAAAAGAAAAAAGAAAAAATTGATGTCAGTGATTTGTGTGTTTGTGTGAAACTCTCAAAACAAAGCCTGTAGGTTTACAGAAGGTCCCCAAATCCCTGCTTCCAAAGATTTTCATAAGGAAAGTGTAGCAGTCAATCCCTCTAAGGGTTATTCCATCAAGATCTAAAGCGTTTAAAGGAACGAGCCAGTACCAGAAGCAACACCGATTATTCTAATGAATAGCAGCAGCGTAGTGGCAGCAACAGGAGAAATCTATATCCTTAAGATATCAATGTAATTTTTAACCTTTTCATGATGGAATTGTTTTATATTTGTTAGATTTGGCTGGTATAAAGCTTTTCAGTTACAGAATGCATGCTGAACCATTTAGTCATATTAAAATTTTGTTAGGTAAGATGGATATGTCTCACTGAAGTCTGAAGGATGTAAGCTGGGGAGAAGCATGAGAAAAGTCATTTATTTGTCCAAGGCAACTTTATTGTGTGAAAACGTTTCGGAACATGGGGTAACCCATAAAGGCCCCCTGCAATAGCTGAACAATTGTTGCTGAAGTCTCCTGAGAGATACATTCTCTGTATCATCCTCTAGATCCCTTGATAGGTAAATATTTTCCAGCTCCAGGAACCATAGGTCATTTGGTATCCTACGTATCCCTTCTTCCTTTGGTTCAAAGTAAACTGTCTAATGAGAGCAAGCCCGAAGGACAGCTGATCACATCTGCTCCCGCGGTTACAGTTCCACATCTTCAAACTGTTTACAATTCCAAGGTCAGTAAGGAAATGCAGCAACTTCTGCCACCATTTGAGAAGGCTTGTTTTTGTCTGTGTTTCTTTCAGGCCTCAGCTTGCAGTGGTCCACTCCTCTCTTGATGGTGCCGTGTTCTGTGACGGTTCTCACGCAAAGGATTACTGACAAGCGACCATCTCTGTTCTTTCGACATTAGTGATGCCCTTCGGTTGTGAAGTAGTTACAAGACCGTCACAGGTTTATTGTCCTGCCTCTTTACTGATGGTATACATCCTCATGTATAAATTATCTGATAAGTCAAAACTAATTTGACAAGCGTGGGTTTTTTGTTTTGTTTCTTTTCTTAATTTCAAGTTTTGTTGCTGTTGTTAGGTGTCATCGAATCAGTTCCAACTCATAATGACCCTGGATAGGGTTTCTGAGGAATGGCTAACGAGTTTGAACCCAGACTTTGGGGTTCAAACCGACCTTGAGGTTGAGTGCTTATCCTATGGTGCCACAGCAGGACTCCTATTGCTCTCATTAAAGCCTATAATTCCCTATTGCTCATGCTTTTCATCAAGTGATGTTGTTAAGTGCCAATGAGCAAGTTCCAATTCATAGCGACCCTGTATACAGTTCCCAAGAAGCGATTGGCAAGCTTGAACTGCTGGACTTCTGGTTAGTAGTCCATTGCTTATCCTACAGTGTCACACCAGGACTTATCAAGCCATAGGAGGAAAACAAAAAACAAAACTGTCGGAGGAAATGAGTCAGTGAGAATGACTGCAGGAATAAAAACACTGTGATGAGGAGGAGCCAGGGCACTCTCCACTTTTTGTTCTAGAACATCCAAACTCTCACAAAGCCACTCAGCGAGTTGGCCAAGCACCAGCCTTGTACCCACGCTTGATTCGCTTCATTGGCATGTGCTGTTTCATCAATACATGGCTCTTATCAATACATGGCTCTAAGTGTTTTCATCAGCTGCCACAACTGATGGCATAATAAGGTGCAATTTATGAAGCTGGTCATTACCACCTCTGCCTTTGTGTCTGGCTTGTGAATTGTCATCGTAGCCTATGTTCTTGGTCAGTACCTTGAATTTTAGTTTAGTCGTAAGTTCTGGAACAGAAGTAACACCCACAAGTGGGGGCGGGGATCATTGGAGCAATAATGTCTGAGCTCTGGCAAGATGTGTATACCCATCAGCATGTGCACAATATGAATGACTTGATTTCTTCCATGGTGGTGGCTGCCATGTTTACTTGGCACTCTAATCTCCTGCTCTCTGTATCTCAGGTTGTGTGTTCCTGGGTCACACAAAGATTCATTTAGTTCTTTGTAACTTCCAAAGTTCTTCCCGAAACACAGACAGAAATTCATCTGCTGTATCTTTATCAGTCAAGCCCAGAGGTAAAATGGTGGCTAACTGCTGAAGTGAGTTTGTTGTATTTCCAAAGTAGGATACATCTTCAGATCGTTCAACTTCATTTTTGAAATAGATGAAAATGGCATCCTCATCTGGTTCCTCCCTCTCCTCTGCAACGTCAGCTGTTTCATCACCCTCTAACACCACGTCAGTGTGGCTGTTGTTACCATCAAAATGGCCTTCACAAGAGAAATAAACAAAATGGTGGATTCGGTTTAAGTGCAATAAAGAGCTCCACCAGCAACAACACAGAATACCTGACCAAGCAGGCTCAGGGGGTGGTCCCAGATCTCTGAACCACATATAAAGGAATATTTAGAAGGTTGGAAGGCTTACAGCTGGGGGAGTTTGTGACAAAAGCAAGAAATCCACTGCTTTCTAGTCCGGGACGCTCAGCTGCTCTAGGAGCCACCATCTTGGGTGAGACCAAGCAAGGGAAGAATTGGAGCCGCCACAGATGCCTGGCAGACCACAGAGATAAAGGTGTGGACAGTCTTTTTTTTTTGGTAGTTGTTCACTGGTTCCTTGTTGTCTGCATACCTCCATTCTGGTGACTATAGGGGTGCCTGAGCTAGTGGACACCCCAGCCCCCCCTCGGAAGGTTCTACTACACATGCACACAGATCTCCTTGAAATTTAAAGAGACAGTTTCCAATTAAAACCAAATGGTCACAGCCGGCCCTGAACTGTTTATAAGTAGAAGCAGATAACCATATCTGCACATGTCCAGAAACAAGATAAAGTGACCGAGGCAATGAGCTGGAAGTAGATCTACATTCCATACTGGAAGATGGGCAGGCTTTGGAAATGCAGGAGAAGGAATTCAGAAAAATAATTATAAAATGTATCAAAATGCTATATAATGGAGCTGAGAAAAATAAGGAAGAAGTCAGGAAAACGCTACAGGAACAATTAAATAAGATAGATACAGCATTGGAAACAATTCAAAATCTATAGAAAAAGGTCCAAACGATCAATAATAGAATTATCAGAAATGGACAATACACAGAAAGGGCAAAGGAGTAGAACTGAAGAGATAGAAGCCAGAACTAGTGAGCTACAAGATAAATCTCTCAACACTACTAAGAAGAACACAAAAAAGGATAAAAAAAAGTTTGAAGAAGGCCTAAGATTCAGGTTGGACAACATGAAGAGGAATAACTAAGAATTATTGGCATTCCAGAACAGGAACAATCACACAAGTCCACAGAGGAGATAGTTGAACAGCTTCTGGAAGAAAATTTTCCTAACATCCTGAAAAATGAAAGATAAGACATATAATAATCAGGCTCTCCAAAATCAAAGATAAAGACAG